TGTGTCTGAATACAAATATCTAGGTGTGACATTTTGTTCTTCGGGTTCTTTCTCCTTTGCTCAAAAGCAGCTTTATCAAAAAGCATTAAAATTATTTTTTAAACTCAGGAAAAATTTCATTTCCCTGAATCCTGAGGTTAAAACCACTATCCATATTTTTGACCATACAATTAAACCTATTTTATTGTATGCATCTGAAGTTTGGGGTTGTTTTAATCCATTTACAAAAAAAAAATAGCATACCCAATTGTACTATTGATAAAATATACTCCAACTTATTCTGTGAAAAACTCCACTTGAAATTTTGTAAATCAGTACTAGGTGTGCATAAAACTGCAACTAATTTTGCTGTATTGTCTGATTTAGGTAGATTTCCCCTGCACTTTGACATTGTAAGATCAATGATAAGGTAATAAAAATCTAGGCCATTCTTTCCCAATTTTAAAAGATGCATATTGTGAATCCAAATCATTGTTTGAGAAAAACATCCCTTCTTGGTACAATCCATTAATTTTCTTATTACCAATATCGAGGGTATTCGTGATTTAACTTCAGTCAAAATGCACAAATTCAAACGTGAACTTAAAGATTGTTTATTTAGATATTATATACAAGAGTGGAATTCTCAACTTAAATCACACTAAAAAGCTGAGATGCTATAGCACTTTTAAACAAAATTTTGGTCAAGAAAAGTATCTTAATTTAATTAAGAATTTTGAGCAGAGGAGAAGTTTTACTCGTTTTCGCATATCAGCTCACAGACTTAATATTGAAAGGGGTCGATATATAGGTATTCCTAGAGAAGAAAGACACTGCAATAGATGCAATAACAAAACAGTTGATGATGAGAAACATTTTCTCTTTTCATGTAATCACATTAAGGATGAAAGAAAAGTCTTGTATGAATTAATAAACAATTCCTGTAAGAATTTCCACAACTTGGACAGTGAAAATAAGTTAAATTGGCTCATGACTAATGAGGATGTGCAAATACTGATTCAAGTCAGTAAAATGATTATGAGAGCTGAAGTATGAAAAGTATTAGTAAACCTGGTATTTTTTTTTTTTTTTTTTTTTTTTTTTTTTTTTGAAATTTAATGTGTCCCCTCATTCCCTTCTTAAATGTACAGAATCAGTCAGAATGGGTGTCTTGAATACTTAGAGTACGGGTTTGCCAGTATAATCGGCTGTGCAGAGGCATCGTCCCCTGGTACCCTCTGTATCCAAGTTACCTTTTCTTTACATTAATTGTATGCTCCTTCAAGATCACAGATTTACATTTATACAGGATAGTACCATTTGTTTATATATATACATATATTTGTGTGTAAATTATTATTTTTGTATGCATGGATATGTGTAACAATAAGTGTATGTTTATAATATATACTATACATACATATATTTGTATATGAATTATTATTTTTGTATGCATGGATTTGTGTAACAGTAAGTGTGTGTTTGTGTATGTGGGTATGCATATGTCAAATATCTATTGAACTAACTCCAAGAGATTAGTTTGCATTAAATTTCTAATTATATGCTAAACTTATTAATTGAAATTACTATTTCTGTTAATACTTAAATGATTTTTTTTTTGAATGACCATCTTCAATACTTAGGGTACAGGTTTGCCAGACAGGCTGTGTAGAGGTATCATCCCCTGGTGCCCTTTGTATTCAAGATGCACTAGTTTTATATTAGAGTACTGCCATTACTACAAGATTTTTTTTTTTTTTTTTTTTTTTTTTTAATTTACCTTATATCATATATCTATCATTTTTATTTAATTGTGTTTTCTTTTATCATTCTATGGTTTCTATGCTTTTGATCCAGTGTGGTGATGCACTTCTCAATGTCAAACTTAATCACAAGTCATGTTACATTATCCTTAATATAGAATTGTAATCAATGTTATCATTTTGTAATAATTGTTCATGCCCCCTGTGGGCCCTTGATTGGTGAATAAACATATATATATATATATTAAGAACGCTTGGACAAATTTCCGCGGAAAATTTGTGACTGCATACATAGCGTAAATTAGTACCACGCGGAAAAAAGTACTTCTACAGTACTTAACTGGCACTCCCAGATTAACTTCTAAAAATTATAACAAATTCGAACTCAGGTATACTTGTTCGAGAAGTACTTCATTGTTAACGAACCACAAAAAGGAATGAACGTTATACATGAATGTATAGTGTACTTTATCCCTATCCTTATTTCAAACATACGAGGACTGTTTAATAAAAAATGTCCTCGGTGCTTAGGAAGAAACAAAAAAAAAAACGCTTTTCAATGATTAAGCCTTAATGGTTTTACTTAAATATTCTCTTTTTATTAAAACACATGTCCGTTAATTTTCTATCCAACTTCTGATTGTTTTTAGAACAAATTTTTGAGTATGGCCCTTCCTATACTGGAATATGGCCGATCCTATGATTTCCAGGAATTGTTTCTTCTTTCTGAAAGGTGTTTTTTTTTCAAGTTTTGAGAATGTTAAAGGTCAAAGGATGAAAAGATCTGGCTAATATTGTTGGTTTGACAAATTATTAACTATCTGTTTATCCCCAAAACTCCGTTACTCTTTATGGCGTGTGGGTTTGGACGCTGTCATGAAGAAATTTAATGTAGTGGATTCCTGATTCTAGTTCCATCCTCTTATAAACTTTTATAATTTTTTTTTACAAAAAAACTTTTTTAATTTTTTTTTTTACAAAAAAAATTCTTTTCTAGCCTTCTCCAGAAATTGATTTGCCTCCCCGAATAAGAATTTGAACAACAAAACCACTGATATTTAAGAAAATGGCATATAAAACTCTTTTGTTTTTGAGCTTGTGCAGTTCTTTGCTCTTCTCAGACCTTGGCTGTTTTTGTCAAGTGCATCTTATTGTAAATTTGTTTTAGAGCTTAAAGCAATAGATTCAAGTTGCATTATTTGTTTGTATTTCAGACAAACGTTGATAACCATGATAACTACAATTTTTGGTCTTTTAAAAGAATTGTTTAGATATTCTTAAATGCTGTCGTTTTCACTCATTTTTCAAAACAAAGGATGACCATTGAGTACAAAGCTTTTTTTACTGTCAAATATTTCTTTAAAACAGTGTAAACACCCCCTCACCCCCACCCCCAAAATAATGCCTATCAATTTTGCTATGTGTCTAAAACATTAAGTCAATCAAACATCGCCAGTGATAATTTGTTGAATTTTGGCAAACAGTACTTACATTGGTTATTGTAATTCTTTGTCGCCAAGGACGGTGCCTATTTTTGATGCCTATTATTATATCATATTTGTTCATTGAAATCCACCTGCTCATGTGTCTATAAAACAGACATTGGTTGCTGTAAATTTCACATATATATTTCAGTGAATATTTCTTTGGGATTCTTTACGAGTTTTAAAGCAGCTTTAATGAAACGTTTAATTTCACTCTAGTTTACTGATTTTTATTGCAGTGTCTCAAATAGCCCTTGTTTTCCAGCTTCTCACGATGAAACAATGTAATGAAAAGTGGTCACATTAACTGTAATCAATTCATTAAAGATTCAGTCATGAGAGAAAGTCAAGCTTAATGTCATATGATTTCTGTGTTGTACATCATAGAGCCCAGGAAATTATTTATTGAAAAGCCCTCGTACGATTACATTGGTATTACATCACAATATTGCTATACAGCTGTATAAAATTGTGAAATACTTCAATATGCAATTATTTAAACTCGATATATGAACGCTGTTAATTAAGTGATGTACGAATGTGTCAATAGGATATGACTTATACCAGATTCTAGTCTAGGTGTATCTACCCGCCAGGGATTCCCCAGGGCCCATGACAGCAAACTGAGTACTCTGCTAGCCGAGCTTATTGTACATGTATGCGTCATTTTCGTCGGAAATGAAAATGATATAAAAAGCTCAATCGCTGTTTATTTCCCATAATCAATTCCAAACCGGCATTTTAGGTAAGCTTAAAACAAATGATGTCTTATACTAATTGAAATGGAATAAAGACATTTTTCTAATATGAAAAAGGAAATATTTTTATGCAAAATAATAGTTAATATCAACGTTGTCTCACTAATGGTAAAAAGCTGCAATTTACAACAATGAAGTTTATTTATTACGAATATCTACCATAAAAAGTGGGAGGTCTGGGGGAGGCATGTGCGAATCTAGAGAGGGGGTTGGGGGTGGGGGTCTGACCCCCCCCCCCTCCCCCGGGAATAAACAGACAGAGTTACTAGTATTAAATTGTTTATAAAATGCTAAATCAATAAGGTAACTTGGATTCTCTCCCCCTAGAAACGCGGACCCTTCCTCGAAAACGGAGATCTATGTGAAATTGGATTCAAAAGACATAGGTCTAAAGCTAGAAAGTCAACGACTAACCCCCACCCCATCCACGAAAGAAGTTTTTCACTTTTGGGATTTTTTTTGGGGGGGGGGGTATTGATTTTTTTTACACCCCCAGTGGAAAAAATCCTGGATCCCTGCCTGGGAAATATATTTTTCATCCAGTAATTTTTTGAGAAACCCAGATAAAGTATATGCTTATTTTTATGCAAAGCTTTTTGAAGTCTTTTGCAAAAAGTGCCCTTGTTTCATGATCATTTGGGAAGCCTAGTCAAATGTTAGCACAAACGTTTCATTGGTGACGTTCTTAGTTTGAGTTTTTTAAAAGAATTGTTTGCAGAATTAATACATTTTTATACATTTGCATATTTTCTACAGGCATTTACAGTTGAGCATTACTAATTGAAAAGCGGAAATATACAGTATACAGTGTATATGATATAAAATACATTGCACATACTATACATGTATATCAGCTTGATTGTATATGTTTGAACAATGCGGAAAATACATGTAAGCAACCTGTATTGAGACCACCTGTCATATGTGACCTTTCTCTGACTCAAGATTGACTGTACAGCACTCCTCTTTATCTGTGTAAAACATGAGGCCTAATATGATGCTTCGTGGTCCTAGCTCTTTACCAGTGAATTTAAAGGTTTAAAAATAATCCTTGATCACCTTTTGTAACACTTACACTGCTATATATATGTCTCTTTTTATATCAGAGAACAATGGCTTTGTCCGTCTGTCTGCTCATCCTGGTCGGCTGTGCTGCCTCTGTTGCTGCTGACGGTTACTCTAGGGAACACTTAGCTTATAACTACGCCCCTATTATTCCTGCCTATGGGGGACTCGGACTTCAGAGTGGCCTCGGGGGTCTCCTCCCCATTATTCTCATTTGTAAGTATCAATCATTGAGTCCAGTACACTGTGTGTATACTTATAAAAGGAGTCATACAAAAAAAATCTAAACAAAAACATAACATTCTTTAGAGCTTTGTGACAAGATACATAATAATTAAGATTTTTACTGTTCTGCATCATTTCGTAGTTGTGTTTTTGAGCATTGCTGCGCCTGCGCTGATTGGGTCCCTACAGTCCACCAGGGGCTGAGAGTAGCTGATGTACTTGGTTCACGATCAGTGGGCCAATGCAGGTATCGTCTCTTCCATGCCACTATTTTCTATAAATGTCTAACTTTAGAGTAAGTGCAATATCTATTACAAACATGCAATTATATGATTTTGAATTACAGAATTCGTTAGACTTGCTGTGTATAAGGATATCCGTGCAGTATAATTGGTGATTTTATTTACTATTGTACAAAATGAAAATTGTGATCACCAATAAAAATATTAAAAGGGATAAAAAGCACTTCCATTTTTTTTAAATAAAAGGATTTCCTGTTTAGTGAGCAGAAGGGTGTTCTAAAAGGGAGTATCCGATGCGGCAGATTTTTTTCTTTTTTAAAAATTGTGTTCCTTAAACAAACTACCAAATATTTGGTTTACAAACACACTGTGTATATTGGTCTTTAATAATACATCGTTCGAGTAAAATAACTCTGCCTTTTATGATAAATTGGCAATATTTTAACCTACAAGTTCTACAAAATATGGAAATGCTCCCACTTTGATTTTTAAAAAAAAAATAAGATTCTTATATCTTCCCGAGAGAGAGAGAGAGAGAGAGAGAGAGAGAGAGAGAGAGAGCATTGATTCTAGAAACAATTACCCTGAAGTTAATAATTAGAAAATTAAAAGATGCATGAGTTTCTCATTGAGAAAGTTTTTGTTATCTTTGGAGACAACGTCTTCAAATAATTTGATGAAATTTCCCCGAGAATTAACTGTGTTTTTCGTACTCTTCTGAAGGAAAATGTGTTTTACAAATAACTTGTAATTGAAGAGAAGAAATCTTTATGTGACTTTGAATTCGACATTAAGATATACCCAGAATAGACAACGAATCATAACATAAACGTACTTTTTTTCACCATTTTATTTAATGAACTCAAAATAAAAGACTTCTGTTTCATATTTGGAAGCTTTACAAAAAGACAAACTAACTCTGATAAAGGTGGAAATTTCAATTTTTCTATAATTATCTACTCCAATATTTGTGTAGCATATATTGCTCATCACATCTTTATGGTATTTATGTCTCTCAGTTTATTCGATATACAAGCGTTTATATTCTACGTACTAACAATTTTCAAACAAGATAAGTAACTGCCTAATAAGTTCATATAACAAGGGTATCATTAATCTCATTTTAAGTAATCATTTTGCTAATTCTTTAGTAGATACTTCGAACGTCTTTAAGTAGAAAGTTAAATTTAATACATTATTTTCCTATACTTTATATAACACATTTGGATTACTTCGCTTTCCTGATCACGACAAAAAACTCACAGCGCCAGTTGTTGGTACAACTAATCCTCATTAAATGTTTTCAAAATTTCAGGGGTAGTTCTTTTCGCTCTTCTAAAACAGAATTCTTTGCATAGACTTTTGATTATAACTGTTCCCTAGTGTCATTTAACATTGACAAATACTTCAATCTTAGATAACAAAAGGAAAGGTGATCAGTTTATTTAGGAAACAGTCGAAAATCTTCACGTGGGAGTTAAGTTTATCTAAGAAGAGGAAAATGAAAGGCTCCATTAAGAACGGAAGGAACTCAACCTTTAGGTGACAGAGAACCTCGTTTTTGAGCATTAATATTCATTTTCATTTGTAAAGTTGTTAATTTTATCTGAATAAATAAAAACATGGGTTTATATTTTATAATTACGAATCGTGCCTGCAAGTTCTAATTTGAAAGAAGTAATTCATGAACATGTTCTTAAAACAAATTTTTTTGTTTAAGAAGAGAAAGGAACTACTCTATATCCGAATGTTTGATCAAGATCATCTAAAAATCTTGTAGCCACCATTTTTAAAGTTTTTGGTACGTTGCTTCTTCTTGCAGCGAAGAACTTCATCCTTTTGTAGTAACCCTCTGGAATAGTGAAGTTTATTTGTTTCGTTCGGAAATCCTCCACCTTTTTCCGTAGGTCTTCCTCCATTATCATCCAGTACAGGCGCAGTGCTATCTTGTTGACGCTGGGGTCGTTCTCTCCGGTCGGCCGCAGACTTCTGAGTGCCTCTTTCTCAAAGCCACTCACATAGATTAGTGACGTATCCATGTCATACTTTTTATATATATATTTAAGAGCAATGTCATATATCTTCTCCAGTATTTCTTTTGACCTTTTTCGTATTCCTTCATTTGGATGTCTTTGGTAGTTTCTCAAGCGAAATCCTGAACGCCATCGTACATAGAAAGATTCTCCCTCCGTTGCGAGCTTTTCTTTTATATCATTTAGTTCTTTCATGATTTGTTCTGTTTTTAAACGACTCATCAATGGGGACAGCAATTCTGCTTCCGTAAAATCCAGTCTTTGGATTGCTCTGTACTCATCTCCTTCGTCTTCAAAATCTGAGATTCTGGCATTTCTTGGACAGGTGGAACTTATACTTGCCACTATCCTCTTCACTGTACTTTCTATTCTCTCTTCTCTTCGAGCTTTCATGCATGGATCAATTAAATAATTAATTTCTTCACCGACCCTCTCTTGGAATTTGCTCATCAGACCATTACTTTCCAGATACCTGAAATTAAGAGTTTTTGTTTTACTCCAAATTTAGGATATAAAATAAAGATTACATTCATATAAAATTAAATTTACAGTGTATTTACTCTCTCTGGTTCTCATAAACTTCTGGAATTAGGGAGGTGACATCACCAGCAGCATACATGATCATTTCTTCTGTCATTGGTCTTTGTGACCAGAAACCCCCGGCTCGTTTTATCCACTCAGCCTATCAAATGCCACAAATAAAATTGCTTTATATTTACATTTGCCAATTTTTCACCTTATAAAATACAATTGAAAAACGTATTTAATTAAGTCTATGATCAGGTTTGTCACCTGACCATAAAATTCATTATTTTATCATAAACAATCGACATAATTTAGTAGAGACATCATAAGTGGCCAATGTTTAAAAACTCATGCATTTCACTGATTTCATGGGTTTATACCTATATTGCTCAAATATTTGTTATAAACCAGTCAAAAATGAAAAAAAAATATAGGTAGTAAATATCTGTTTGAAGATTTTAGGCATTTAGTTTTATGGTATTTGATCACATGACAAACCCGTGCTTACATTCCACATAGACATTAAAAATGAGACCTTAATTCTAAAAGAAATATGCGTAATAATTCATATACATGTACAATTTTTATCCCCTCTTACTCAGAAATTGAGACATAAATTATTATTTATTTCTAATTGTAAAAAAAACAAAAGACAATTCTTAAATTTAAATTACACGAATGTCTTCTTTGAATTCAGACACGCCTTTCTTACCAGAGTAAATCTTGCAGATGTCATCTAGTTTAAGTGGAGGAGCTAGTTGCCTGCCTTTGTGCTCTTCAATTAGAAGGTGTGCTTCCTTCAATCAAAGGAATAAAGTGAGCGACTTATGTGTACTGTATCACAGCATAACCTTTCAGTTATATCAATCGTTAAAATATCATTAAAAATCTATAAATGAGATTGACTTACCTGGGTGTCAAATACATTTCGAAGCGTAACACCAAACTGGAAATGCAATGCAGCGCTGTCATTGGAGCAGGATTGCATGACCTTTAAATTGCAATATTAAAATGGAATAAGCATCTTTCTCATTAAATGAATAGAATTACTAGCTTAAGTTAAGTTCTACATGTATGAGATGTTTATATATTGAATATTTTGTCCGCCAGTATATTTGGTCATATCCATCAGAATTAGAATATGGGAGGTAAAACCACCATTTACACACTATAAAGTAAACAATATTGATTGCTCCCCAATTTGTACTGCATACTAGTAAACTGGGTTGGAATAGTATTCGCTATTTAGCTCACTTGACCCGAAAGGTCTTTTGAGCTTTTCTGATCGGCGACCGGGTCCATCTGTCTGGAAACTTAACATTTTCAACTTAATTTTTGTTACGAACAACTGGACCGATTTCAACCAAAATTGCTACAAAGTATCATTGAATAAAGGGAATTCTAGTGTGGTCAAATAAAGAATTATGCCAATTTACTTCCAAGAAGGAGATCAAAAAGAATTTGTGAAAAAATTATGGCATTCTTTAAAATTCTTCTTCTCAAGAGTACCACTGGAAAAATAAAAGTTAAAACTTTTGTTGAACAATCCGAAGGTAAAGTAGATCCAAGTTGATTTATATATGACCAGAAGAAAGGGAGTGGTCAAAATGGGGGTATCAAAGTTTGGAGATTTAATTAGAAATATAGAGGGAAAATCTTCAAAAATCTTGTTCTTAAGAAGAGCAAAACCTTGATTGATCATACATGGAAGCATCCTCCGGTTGAGTAGAATCAAGTTTGTTCAAAACACGACCCTCAGATTACAGTGGGGCCACAATGGTGGTCCAATTCCACTATTTCCATACGTTCTTCTCAAGCAATGTTTTTTAAAATCATGACACCCCATGGATAGAGAGTGGTCATTTAAGGTCAAGATCTAGTAAATAACTTTAGACTAATTTTTTGGTGCTAGATCCATTATGACGTCATAATCAATTTCAACTTTCTTTTTCCCGTACTTTACCGCGTTAGCAGAATTATGTAGAAAATAGGGTATTTTTATGACATTCAATTTGAAATCATATGAAAATTAAACCGGATACCTATATTAAATTTGATATTGGTTTAAGAAGAGGCCATGGACATACTAATTACCGTTTTCTGTGAGACTGTAGGCAATCTGGATATATTTCCTTTGTTGAATATGAAAAAAACTCCTGTATGCATGACTGGTTTTCTTAATTTTTCATTGAAAATGACAGTTTAAAATACAGTTTTTCATCTTGTTTACCTACAAATTATGCCCCGAAACACCTTATTTGACCAAGTTACAGTTGTAAAGCATCAATAAAGGAATTTATTTCTCAAATTTGATAAATCTGTAGGCACCTTTCATTTACTAGATCTTGACCTTAAGTCTAACATAGCAATACATACTAGTAAAAATAAACATTTTTCAAATTCTTCTCAAGAACTATGTCTTCAAGTAAGATTGTTTTAATTCCTTATTACATTGTATTTTTAAAGATTTCAAAAATAGGCCTTTCAAGATATAACAGTAAGTGGTTTCTTAAAAATGATTTAAAAAAAATTGGGTATTGAGCTCATTTTTCGAAACAGAAGCTTGCAAAAATCACTGTCAAATCATAGATAAAGATATCCTCTTTAAAAACACAACTATTGACCACTATCAGGGCAATGTATTTCCAGTTTATTCTGTACCTTAACAATGCCTTTCGATTCCATTATATTCCCTAGTCGCCCTTTTTTCAAAAGTTCCCTGTTTGCATGGATATCAAAAAGATACACTTCCCCGGAGTAGGTTCCGACTTGTACCAGAGTCAAGGGGCCATCCACGCCCAGCTGTATTCCTTCACAGTCTACTGCCAAGACTTGTTCATGTGATAACATTTCGACGACTTGACGACAGCGACTGATGTCTTCAATCACTTCCGGTAACATATTCAGCGTGAGATGCCGACCAAAACGGAAAACTATAAAGTATACATAAAAAGTAATATTACGTCAGCTGAAATATAACAGAGATGAAACATATGGAGATAACGGAACAGTATTCACGATCAAAAGACCACAAAACAATACAAAATAGGAGCAGAGCAAACACGGACCTCCGAAACATGGTGGACTCAGGTGCCATATAATATAAATTATAAAATAATTATATACGAGGGGTGATAAAAACTATCTCTGTGTACACATAACCTCAGATCATAATAAAATTTGAAATGCATATAGTTATAAACGAGTTCTAAATATAGTACGTGTAAGCCTAAGGTAATAATTTGTTCCTTTAGTGAAAATTCACTAAGTCCATAGACCTAATTTGAAATGAGATCCGATTTTCTGTCATGACTTGAAATTTTATAAAGGAGCTGAGGCTTACATAGTCTCAGAATTTCTCCAAAATCTCTATGATAAAAATCTTTGATATCCTTAATTAATGGTTTCCACCCTCACAATTAAAATGGTTCAAAGTACAAAAACTGCATTAATTTTCATTTAATATACTATAAATTTTCCAATTATTGCAAAAAATGTATAAGTCATCATATTATTTTTAAAAGATGTGAAACATAAATAAACATAAATGAATTTCATCTTTAAAAATTGCACGTTTTTTGTAAACACTATTATGAAAAATATATAAAAGCTGGTTAAAATGCATAATTCTGATGCTGAATGTTCCTAAATACTTCCTACTTTTAAGATATTTTTGAATTGTGAATTTCAGGGAAGGAACCTTTTTTACATTAGCATTTTTAAAATTCTTTTACTTAAAACATTTTAACATTACACATATTGTAAAATATTCTCCCAAAAGATATTGTTCTATTAGGTATGAATTTAAACTAATTACAGTTTTTGCAATAAACTATGACATCATAGGAGGGTGGAATTACCTTAAAATCAGGAAAAAATTGTTTGCTGTGTGTTAAGTTTACCATGGCATTATGTCATAAATTTTTAAATGGCATTTCTTAACATGCTTATGTTTAAAGCCATATAGTTAACAATTGCAGCAAAGCAAACAATTTACAATGCCTGTTTCCAACAGCCGGAGACTTGGTTGCATGATAAACACTGTTGGTAAATCAACTATAACACACGTTATATTCTATATGGTCACAGATTATTCAAAAAGTAAAAATAATAAATTCATTAAATTTTATAAAGTCATAGATAAAAAAAAAAGCAATTATGTAATGAAATGTGACCAAACAATAGAGAAAAGCTTTGAAACATATTGTACAGATTATGATATTTCTTATTGGTTGGCAATGATTACCACAGTTTTTATACAACAGATTTTATCTTTTAAAAAGCACATTTCTATATAACTGATGACCAATATTTAAATGTGTTGATGTTGTCAAAAAAATAAATTAAATTTTTATTATTAAGTATTATTAAGCGTTGCCAAGGAAATAAGCAGAAAATATATGTTTAAAAATCTGAAAAATATTTTGTTTCCTTGGATACATGCCTTTAAATTTAGATCCCCAATTTTTAGCTCACCTGAGCCTAAGGCTCAAGTGAGCTTTTCTGATCAAAATTTGTCCGTTGTCTGTCGTTGTTGTCGTAGTCGTCGTCGTCGTTGTTGTAAACTTTTCACATTTTCATCTTCTTCTCAAGAACCACTGGGGTAATTTTAACCATACTTGGCACAAAGTATCCTTGTGTGAAGGGGATTCAAGTTTGTTCAAATGAAGGGCCACGCCCTTTTCCAAGGGGAGATAATTATGAATTAGAGAAAAATTAATGGCATTTTTAAAAAAACCTTCTCAAGAACCACTGGGCCAGGAAAGATGAAACTCATGTGGAATCATCCTCAGGTAGTGTAGATTCAAGTTTGTTCAAATCATGACCCCCGGGCTAGGGTGGGGCCAAAATGGCCAATCAAAGTTTTACATAGGAATATATAGGAAAAATCATATAAAATCTTCTTCTCAAGAACCTTGAGACAGGAAAGATAAAACTCATGTGAAATCATCCTCAAGTAGTATAGATTTAATTTTTTAAATCATTACCCCGGGGGAAGGTAGGGGCCAAAATGGCCGATCAAAGTTTTACATAGGAATATATAGGAAAAATCTTTAAAAATCTTCTTCTCAAGAACCACTGGGTCAGAAAGGTTGAAACTCATGTGGAATCATCCTCACGTAGTGTAGATTCAATTTTTTTCAAATCATGACCCCCGGGCTAGGGTGGGGCCAAAATGGCCGATCAAAGTTTTACATAGGAATATATAGGAAAAATCTTTTAAAAAATCTTCTTCTCAAGAACCATTGAGACAGGAAAGATAAAAACTCATGTGAAATCATCCTCAGGTAGTATAGATTCAAGTTTGTTCAAATCATGACCCCCGGGGGTAGGGTGGGGCCAAAATGGCCGATCAAAGTTTTACATAGGAATATATAGGAAAAATCTTCAAAACCTTCTTCTCCAGGACCACTGTGCCAGGAAACATGAAACTCAAGTGGAATCATCCTCAGGTAGTGTTAATTTATGTTTGTTCAAATCATGACCCCCGGGGGTAGGGTGGGGCCAAAATGGACGATCAAAGTTTAACGTAGGAATAAATAGGAAAAATCTTTAAAAATCTTCTTCTCAAGAACTATTAGGACAGGAAAGATAAAACTAATGTGGAATCATCTCAGGTAGTGTAGATTCAAGTTTGTTCAAATCATGACCCAGACCCCCGGGGGAAGGTAGGGGCCAAAATGGTCGATCAAAGTTTTTCATAAGAATATATAAGGAAATCTTTTGAAATCTCCTTCTCAAGTATTTCAAAGCCATAATTAGTGATATTTATACGAAATCATCCTCAGGTAGTGTAGATTCTAGTTTGTTCAAATCATGACCCCCGGGGGTAGGGTGGGGCCAAAATGGCCGATCAAAGGCTAAAAATCTTCTCAAGAACCCACTGGGCCAGAAAAAGATGAAACTAATGTGGAATCATTTCAGGCAGTGTAGATTCAAGTTTGTTCAAATCATGACCCCCGGGGTAAGGTAGGGGCCAAAATGGTCGATCAAAGTTTTTCATAAGAATATTTAGGGAAATCTTTTAAAATCCCCTTGTCAAGTACTTCAAAGCCATAATTAGTGATATTTATAATTATTAAATCATCCTCAGGTAGTGTAGATTCTAGTTTATTCAAATCATGATCCCCTGGGGAGTTAAGATTTAAGCCCCCCCCCTCCCTCAAAACTCAGTAAACTTTCATTTCTGATCTGAGAATAATTGCTTTTTCCTAGCCTGTGTGCTCAGGTGAGCGCTGTGGCCCCTGGGCCTCTTGTTTATGAATGATATTAATGAAAACTAACCTGACTTGTAATTTTGACTATCATCCAATCTCTAACTAGATGCAAGACGCCGGCACATCTAGGGTTTAAGTTAGGATTCTTCTCTTACTTTTTGTATTTAAAAATTAATGTAATTTTCACAGAATCAAGAGGACAATATCACTAAATGATGGTATCAGTGAGATTAAATTTGACCGTTTAATATTAGAGGCAGGTCAAGGTCATTACCCTTTTACTGGACATTAAGAATAAAAAATTATTGTTTCCAATCATGTGGTCCCTATTTGTAATTCAAAAGATTGAATGTTTTTCTTTTTGCATACAAAAATACTACTATATATGACCTATAAGATGATAGTACCAAATTGACATGGATGATTTAAATAAAATGGATATTTGCTAATCCGAATTTCCTCTAATTTTCTTAAATTTTTAGGATTTATTAGTTATTTTTATATGCTTCCTTTATTTAGATTTTTATAATTTTCAGTTTTGATCGTTTACTAAGAGAGAAATAACACTTTTTACGGATTTTTTGCCCAAATCTTTACTCAGATTTGAAGCATTTAAAAGCCAACATAGTTCTAGTATGCGTGAAAAAATCTGATTTATTTGATATATTTTGAAACTTTAGTCCCTTATTATTAATTTAACTTACATTTAATATTTTCGTCTAGTCTTTGATTGCGTAAAAATTATAACTAAATTCAATGTTCTATAATAATTTTGAAAGGCAGAAAAGAAAATATTTTCATACGCCACCATTCCGCCAAAAATATTGTCCCTACTAGTTTTCAAACGTAGTTTACCATTTCTATTTAAAGTTGTATAATTGTGATGAGGAAAGAAAAATATGGTCTTTTAAATCTCTTACATCTAAAAATATAAGACATATCAACAAATGTACTTTGAATATTCCATCTAGTCAGAAACCAGAGAAGAATCCTACCTTAATATTAATATAAAGTTAAACTTTACAAAATCGAACATTTTCCCTTCTTGATAACCATACCAACAGTTTTGTTTTCCTCATCAATGTTTACCAACATATAATATTCAACTTTAGTTCCACCAAATGAGTACTATTCAAAGTGTGTCATGCAATATATTTCTTGATTAAATGGCAAGATAATTCCTATTGTCTATTTTTCTTAAGATTGATTGATTGATTGTATATTGTTTAACGTCCCTCTCGAGAATTTTTCACTCATATGGAGACGCCATCACTTGCCGGTGGAGGGCTACAAATTTTGTCCTATGCTCGTCACTCAGGGCCTTTGAGCAGTGAGGGATCTTTATCGTGCCAGCAACTACTGCGACACGGGGCCTCGGTTTATACGGTCTCATCCGAAGGACCGTTCTCCACGTCCCGCAGTGGGATTCGAACCAAGAGAATCAAGAGTTTTGTCACACGTCTGATATTCTTGTACACTATTTTACAATTTGATATCCTTTTACACTGTGGCGAAATATAACTTTTATTCAATCTTTAAAAAAGATGTAATAGATTAAGATTTCCTTACCAATAAAAATGACACTGTGTTCCTTTCAGACAATTTTCGACGAAGATAATACAGAAGACCCTTTCTTATCCCTGTAGCTTCTTCGAAGAATGTCAAACAACAAATTGATTTTTTAAATTGCGTATCGATTTTA